ATTTCATTTTTGAAATATCATTTCCCAAGTTGTACTAATGGTAAACTAGTGCTCATTTAGCCAGTTTTTTGGGCTAAAACTTTCTTCTCCAGATACTACTGCAAAATGGAACAGATTGGTCATTAAAGCATTAACGATTTAAGAACTGCTAGATTTGTTTAAATATTGAACAATAAGATTCAGTGCTTGTTACATTGCATGTGACTGATATGAATGTCCTTTTCATTCGTTAGTTTAATTGTTGTTTTTCCCATAAGTTTTTGCTGTTAACAATCACTCACAACTTAGCAGCAGTAGCTAAAGAAATTATAACATTGAGACCTATCGTATTAATTCATGAGACTGATAAAACAGTTTAGTTTTTCATTAAAGAGGTATTTTTCTAGGTTTTATTTTGTTCTAAAAGTGGTTTTTGTTTCTCATTTGTTTTTTCCCCAAGTGGTTTTCTTGCTTGGCATTGGTAACTGTTTCCTGTCATTGCAACTTGTCACTGTATTGTCCTGTACTGTGTGCTTCTGTTTGTTTACTCATAACTTGTTCTTTTCAACGGAAGGAAGACGCGTGTGTTGATATATACTAAAGGCTATATTTAGGCTATCAAAGATCTACTTTTGTAACGTTAAAGATTTTACATCAAAAGTTCCATCATTTCACAATGTATTGCTTGTGAAAAATTGGCCTCAAATTTATCTCGTTTCTTCTCTGCTTGCATCTATTTTTATTTTAAGGGGAAGAAAAAAAGGGAAGTGATTTCCGACTGCTCAGTTTGTGAACTGCATGAGTGCCATGGAAAGATCTTAGAATAGTTGATCTTTGTTTCGTGTTTTTTTCCTTTTGTCAGTGTTTGAGACTTACAAGAAGAGTTTTGTTTCTTCTTTTTTGGTTGGAAAGTTGCAAGCTAACTAACTGAGTTGCACTGGAGAAACGGCGCTGACTTTTATTTTATTAAAAGATAACTACTTAATATTTTTTCTTACTTGAGATGTGACGAACTAATATATTTTTTGTTCTTGCTCTTCTTTCTAATTTTTTTGAAAAATCCAAAGTGGTTCTCAAATCTTGTTAATACAACTTATGTGCTTTCAGTAGTGTGCTAGAACTGCGTTCTGGAAAGCCAT